CAGGGCAGCAGAACCTTTTCAGAGGTGCGCGGAAAGAATTCTGTTGGCACCAGCTTCTTCCTTCACTGGAGCATGGCAAAGGAAAAGCTTTTCCCCCTTTAAACAATCTTTGAGTCCATTACCCAGTGGTCTTATTGACAGGAGTCTAGAACTGGATGGGGATTAAAACTATTAAAGCCTGGATGAAATCCAGGAAATAGTGCAAGGTCCATTGAAGAGATACGGAACCTCAGGCACAGCCCTCTGGGATCTCGTCCTCCTAGCAATGCTTCCCTTCCCGCAACCCCTATTGTTGGGTCGTTTCCTGGCTTTTCTTCAGTTTACCTGTATTCATAACCCCAAACGTGCCACCAAAGGAAGGATATAGTGGTTGTCCCTTGCCCCCTCCTGCTACTTCTAAGGAATTCTTTCAAGGTTTACAGCTATCTAGAAGTAAACAGAGGAAATATTTCCCTATTTTTTTACCCTCCACATACATAAATCTCTTTACCATTCTTGCTCATATACCAAACATTCTAAGGCAATGTATGAATGTTTCCCTTGTTGTAACAGGGTCAGTGAATGGAACATACTTATTTGTTCATGTAGCAACAACAACAGAAGAAGATAGGTCTCTGCCCCAAGGAACTTACACTAAAATTTGATCAGAGTAAAAATAAGGGTGCTTGGTGAGATCAGAGAGAAATGTGGGTAGCTTCAGGTATGCATTCTTAAGGGTGGGGAATATAAGGGTTGGGCCAAAGTCTTTGAACAATGATTTGAAAGGAGAAGGAAGCTAAGGAGGAGTCAGCTCTGGCCAGTGGCCAAATCTGCCCTTCCTGGGGTACAAATCCAGCCTTTGACTTCTCCAGAAATCCCACCCAATAACCATTTGGCGTTTACTGGCTTCTGTGCAATTTTCCTCCAGACTAAAAGAATGAATACCTCTTTCACGGCTTAGTTACTGGCAGGAAAAGTTCGCAGCTAGGGTTTGGGAGGTTCTTTGGTTCTGTCTCTTTTGACTTTGGCCCTGTCCACCACTGAAATCCACTTCCCCAAACTTTTCTGAAGTAGAATTGCTACTGATCTGGTGGTTAAAATATGGGAAGGGGAGTGGAAAGGGAGAAGGAAAGTGGTCTGTCTCTGTGGTTCTAGATGCACCAACCCTGCTTTTCTGTCGTGTATTTCTGGACTCCCTTCTGGCCACTGTAGTGATATAACAGGGCATTTCTGTTGATCGCTTTGGGGCTGTGTCCTTGGCCTGCCCCCATGCCAAATTAAATGCTGTTCCTGGCTTGGTGGAATTGAATTCAGGGTCCAGATTCCCCGGCACAGGGCCTCAGCATTTCAAGGGTTCTGTCCTGGGAAGGGCAGAGTAGTGTTCTCCAGCCTAGGCATGATGGGAACTGTGGTTCAACATGTTTGGAGAATGGTAGTGTCAGGAAGGCTGAAAGGCAGCAGAAATCAAAGTTTCTGGATTCTCTGGAAAGCGTTAATGCAAGATAAGCCAGGGCAGGGTGCACAAGGAACTTCTGACAGACTAGAATGGTATTTCCTGCCTTCAAGTCTGAGCTGAAAGCTGCCTCCTTGGCAAAATGTGCAAGTCTTAAATGACATCAGCCTGGGAACCCCCCTCTGCCCTTCAGACTGAGCTGGCTCCCACCGCATGGAGCTTCAGCTTCGCCCACCCTTATATCTACACGCCCCCTTTTCTGTGAAGCTGGCAGACCTTTCATTTCTATGGCTCATGATCCTGCTTCAGGGAAGGGCATATTTTCTCCATGTATGGGTTTGTGGTTTCCTTTCTGAGCAAACCCAGAGAGAGTCCATTTTTAGCTAAAAACTGGTAGTTGTTGAAAACGGAAGTTCGTCGTTATAATAAGAACAATTAATCATGCAGGGAAAAGTGGCTGTTCAAAGGCAGCAGTGGGTGTTAAGAGTGGGGCAAGCTCAGAAGAGGTTGGACTTTCAAATTTCAGAAGCAAAATTTAGTTTAAATGAAGCAAAGGTAAAGGCGGAGTTTTGGTGGTAACATCACAGTATATTTGGGAAGTCCCATTGAGAATGACACTGTAGGGTTTTTTAGGGTTTTGTGTTTTCATATGGTGGGACTCCACAATCTGTGACCTGAATACAGCAGGAACAATGCTCTGGATGCCATGATGGCATCCACTTATTTTGCATGTATTTATGTATTCAATAAATATTAATTTGCAGCATTGAAATCTAGCAGTCAGCTTTCTTTAAATCTTTCAGGGTAGAGTTGTGTTCATGTTTACACAGAAGTAGATCCTGCAACTCCCACACTAGAAGTTGTAGGACTTATTTCTGTCGGTACATGCATAGCATTGCAGCCTGTGTACAATAATCATGGCCTGGCTGCCTCCTGAAGTCTCTTCCATTCCCTCAGCAGGTGAGCCCATCTAACACACATTTCTGCCTTTTCTCAAAAATACAAGCAGGTTTTTTCCTTGCCTGCATGAGTGTTTGTTCTTCTGTCTGAAAGTACTCCCAGAACCGGGGGGGGGGGGGGCAAGTCCAGAGGCCAGCTTGGTATACAGTAGGCCGGTCTGTTTGGGCGTCTCTATAGCAACCCTTGTCTGCGCACCTGTCAGTCAGTGGCTGATGCAATCGCAGAGGCGGGTCCTTGCCTGCCCCAAGACCACCCCTTGGCAACCGACTTCCTTGGGGATTGGAGGGAAAGTGGTCTGTTCCCATAGTAACTGCTGGCGGCTGTAGGCCTCTTGGAGGATGATTTGTCTGTCACCATGGTGACTTCTCCTTACTAGCCAGTGACCCTCCTCTCTTGGGCAACTGTTGCCAAGAGGGTTCCCTGTTATCTTAGCCGACCACAGATCCCAGAAGTATGGACTTGTGACAAGAGAAGAGGAGTTGGGGAAATCCAAAAAGCAAGAGCTTTGCCAGATGCTGCTTCCTGACATGTCAAAGATGCTGTCTGCCAGTGCTGGGCAACTGTTCGACTTCAGAAGAAGGCCTAGGAGCGTGCCACTGTAATGCACATTCTAGCAGGCATCCAGGCTGGGGCAGGGATCCTCTCTGGCCAGCTGAGCGTGAACGTGGCCAACCGGGAATCCTGCCCTGCCCTGCCCTGCCCTGCCTTGCCAGGGAGCGACTGGTCCTCATGCTGCAGCTGAGATAGGCCACACCCTACATTGCCACATTTGACACCCATGTGCACTAGGCCATCCATCCATGCCCTGTATCAGCCTTTCTTTAGCTGGTGCCTTACAGCGTGCTGGCTGTAGATGATGGGAGTTGTAGTACCACACAGCTGGAGGGTGCCAAGTTGAATAAACTTACCGTATATTCTTCTCTACAAACCAAAGGATCCTGGCCCTTCCAAACCATTCTAGTGCACCAAAGCTTTCCTCTGCATAGTAGGTCACAGGGCTCAGGTATACGTGATAGGGAGTTGCTTTCAGACCCAGTGAATTACTAAGTCCAGAATTTATTGCCAGGTCTTCTACAAGCTATGTTTCTGCTCTCCTACAGTTCTGCTTAAGACTGCATGGCCAAAAGAAAAGAAATCCATTGCAGTTACCATTAGCACTGTCCTCTTAAGTCCTCCTTTTCACTTGGGGTGCCAAAACTCTACCTCTGAGGGGCAAATCACAGGGGACCATATTCCAGTGGTGGGCAAAGACAAAATGGTATGCCAAAAGAATACTGACTTGTATCGTAGCTTAAAGCGGACACTGCCTTAGGCAAGGCATTTCAGCCTTTCAGAGCAGGGAAAAGAACCACATGAAATCCAGGAAACCAGATTGGGGGAGACTGCCCTGGAGCCCATCTCAAGCCCTACAGGCGTAGATGAGCATCTTCTTCATGGCCACCAGTGAATGTCAAGGCTTTGCAAGGATCTAAGCACTGGCGCTCCCATCTCATTGTACTACCGTGGTGATGCTGTTGCTGTTGTACAGCTTCTCCCATATATGCGCGAGCATCTTTCTCCCTCTGGGGACATCATGTGGAATTGCACTTGGGGAGATTGCTATGCCTTTTTGGTGTTTGTGTGAACCTCTGACTTTGCTGCATTTATTTGGATTGTAGGTCTTTGTCCCCAGCTTAATGCTAAGGGAAGGATATATCTGCACTCTCATTTCATTTCCATCCAGTAGCTAGTCCCAGTTTACATCAGTTCATAAAACAGACGATACAATAAAACACTATAAGGAATACATTTTTTAAAACAGCTAAAGTAATATATGGTAATAGATAGTCCTGCAAAATGCCTGGGATGGGTTTTCCCCTCAAGCCATTAAATATCCTTGGATGTCTTTAAATGCCTTGGTGGTTATCTTAACCTGGTGCCAAAAGGATGGCAAGTTTGGCACTAGAAGACCAGTGATGGATACTGGCAGCTCTGTTTTTTTTCTGAAGGGATGACAGAATCAGCAAGGTTGAAGCTCAGTCTTCCTCATCCCTGTTCCCAGTTGTAACTTCCCTGCCCACTTTCATTTGCAAGGAAAAAGTGTGTATCATTGTGCCCACTTTTCACAAGTTTGCCTCCAAAAGTGCATATCCCCCCATTGAAAAATGCATTTTTCCAGAGTTTGTATTTCATGAATGAGGATCAGATGCACAGAAATCTGAAGCTTTGCCCATGTTTGTGCTTGCAGGTGTGAGCAGGGCAAATTGTGGTCTAAAATTAAGAGAAACAAAATTCTTATGCAGTTTATTTCTTTGTGACAGTTTTCCAAACTGATTCCACCATCTGGTACTAGGAGGCCATGATTGTACTGTCAGCCTTTTTGAAAGACACTGGCAGGACCTCTTGATTAAAGCAGAGCTCTCCCTCCCCCTGCATTGTCCCTTAATTACTCAGCTGTAGGAGGTTAGGAATGACAAGGTTTGGCTATGTTATAAACGACGCCTAATTACACTTCTAGCTACCAATCCTAGTTGGACCTGATCTGTATAAGAGCCAAATGCTTTTTGCTGAACACTGTGATACGATTCAGGAACACGGAAGCCTCAAAGTTTTGCTTTTGCTTTTCCAGGCTGGCAGTGATGGAGCAAAAATTGGGAATTGCCCCTTCTCTCAACGACTCTTTATGGTCCTTTGGCTAAAGGGAGTGACCTTCAATGTCACTACAGTGGACACCAAAAGGTGAGTAAAATACTGTCCATCTGCCTACAATGCCCTCTTGTTCACTAAGCGTGACTAATCCACACGTATGCTCCAGTTTTACCACTAGAGATGGGTAAGAATTTCATTCAATTTACAGTTTGAGGCAAACTTAGTTAATTTGCAGTCCCTGGAGTTGTGCATGAACCCAAACACAACTGTGCACTGAAATCCAGCCTTTTCCAGATGTGTCATGCACGTTCATTAATTAAAGATGACCACAGAAATGCAAGTATCATATGTATAAGATGTACATGCTAGGGGGAATTGTGGACAAAATTACTATATATTATAGGAGGGGCAGAAATGGGTACATTTCAAGCCTCAAAAGGTATTATAATACTACTACTAATAATAATAGGGGGAATACGCATGACAAAATGTGCACATTTTTGTGTAAACTTTTAAAGACAAAATTTTCAAATTGCAGCATAATTGGAGATTTAGTGAACTGAGGAAAAGTTAACTTGATGTAGTATTCATGGTAGTCCTGCTTAGAGCAGGTCCATTGAAATGAATGGGACTTAGATTAGCATGATTAATTTAACTCCCAAATATTTCAGTGGGTCTGCTCTAACGAGGACTAACATTGGATACAGTCCAAACTCACCCATCCCTACAGGCTAGCTTGGCAATTTCCTTTTAGTACTTTCTAGTGACTGTCCTGTAATTATAAGCACTCTGTTCCCCCCACCCTCGTAGGAGAACTGAAACAGTACAAAAACTCTGCCCAGGAGGTCAGCTCCCCTTCCTGATGTACGGCACGGAGGTCCATACGGACACGAACAAGATTGAAGAATTCCTGGAAGAGGTTCTGAGCCCTCCCAAGTATGTGCAAAATGGGGCAGTGGGGCTGATTGGAACAGGGGATTTCTGGCTATAGAAGGAGTTGTGGGTGGTGCCACCATCAAGAGAGCCCACTTTGTGGTCGATTTCCTTCACAGGTACCCCAAGTTGGCTGCTCGTAACCCTGAGTCCAACACAGCTGGTCTTGATGTGTTTGCAAAGTTCTCTGCTTACATCAAGAACTCAAACCCAACGCTCAACGCCAGTGAGTATCCAGGCCCCCAAACGCTCAGCAAAGTTCTCCTGCAAATGCTTTGATTCCCGTTTATTCACTAGTCCTTATATTGCCGCCCTGTTTCTTAATAGCTTGACTTCTTCATCCTTGCCTTGCCGTTGTCTCTTTCCTTCATATACTTCAGTAGATTTTCATTGCTTTTCATTGGCTGTTCTTTTCTTTGGATTGCACTCTGATTTTTCCAGTTCATCCTGGTTTCCTTGGAGTGTCACTTATCCTATGGACCAGGACTGTATAACACACGTTCCAAAGGCCTTAGGTACCGCCCCAGTGGATGTTCTAATCTGCAGAGAAATAGCCATCTCAGTGTAGATTGCTCAGGGGTGGTAGAAGCTTTTGCTTCCCCTCCCAGCTATCCTTAAAGCTCAAGAGAGGGGAAGTTTAAAATTCCCCCCTCCATTCACACCTAGATGTGCGTGTAGGGCTGGGGTGGGAGTGTGAGCATGCACACGCATAGCCTGGACCTCCGTAGCCAACACTGCTCATGACCTGCAGGACCTAGAAGTCTGTGCACCCTTGCTTCACGCTAATGTTGAACAAGGGCCGACCAGTCTGTGAGGACTGATTCCTGCTTAGTCAAGTTCATGGAACAAGGAGGAGGTGTTGGCATGGCTCAGCGAACCCCAGACAGTGCAGAAGTGCAGAGAAAGTTAGGGGCTGCCTCTGGACCACTCCGTGGGTGTGCTTAGTGGCCATGGAATGCTGAGAGAAAGTCCCTTGGAGAGAGAAAGGGAACGAAGGGAGTGGAAATGGAAAGGAGTATCTTAGAACAGGGCGTAGTTGGCTGGACCCTGAACAGCATTTTCTTGTTGGCCTCACTTCTAGTTTAAATGACTTTTTTGTTCTTCTCGGTGCTTGGTTTATACTTTATTCCCTCTGTTTTAGTTCCCTTCTGTCTTCTCCGCCTTGTCCCATGGGATCTCATGACAGCTATTTGGTCTCATTGTTCTCCTTCATTCCTTCCAGTCAAGTTTTTTTTCTTTCCCTTAATTAACAATGGATCTCTTCCTAACATTAAACTGTTTCTGATTTCCTGTTAGCTACCCCTTCTCTAGTTTAATCCTTGAATCTTACTGACTCTTTCATTCTCTTCTCTTGAATCCCACATCTCCCTGGTCCTTCACCTTCTCACCTTGAATCCCATAGGCTTGCTTTCCAAAGTGCCAGCCACCACTCAACTCTTTTCGGAAGCTTTGTGTTCCCCCTTGGATTTTCATTGGTCTCACATATTCTTCCTTCACCCCCTACAACACCTCCTCCTTTCCTAGACCTTGAGAAGGGTTTGCTAAAAGCACTGAAAGTGCTGGATGTTTATTTGATGACACCACTACCGGAGGAGGTGGACGAGAACAGTGCTGAGGATGAGGGCCAGTCCAATCGTAAATTCCTCGATGGGGATGAACTGACGTTGGCCGACTGCAACCTACTGCCCAAGCTCCACATTGTCAAGGTGAAAACTTCTCCTCCTTCAGAGGCAGCACGTCTCTCCAGCAGTTTCTGGGGAATAAAAGGGGGAGGGTACAGTTGCGGTCATGTCTGCTTGTGGGTTTCCTAGAGTAGGGGTGTTCAGCCTCTTTCAGACAAGGGGTGAATTCAATCTCGGTGGGGCTCTCTGGGGGCCACATTCCAGCAAAGTGGGTAGGGCCAAAATAGCAAACTTAATTAGCTATTTTAGCTTAAAAATTTGTACTGTCAGTAACAAAGGCATAGGAGGGATGCTTCTACCCTTTAGATTGGCTGGCTTGAGACAACACGATACCCTGTAGTCAAGGACTGTGTGTGTGTTGTGCTGAAACTGAGAGTTGTTGAAACACTGCTTATTATGTTGTCTGAATCCAGCTGTGCTAACACGTCTTGATTTATTAACCCTGAACAACCTACCATTCACTACTGAACAATACACTGGGTTATCTTCATGGGTTATTTGGTGTTAAGAAACCATAGTTTGTTAGCTCAGCTGGGCTCACACAATATGATAACCCACAGTTCAGCAACAACCTATATTACACCCTTGAGTGTGAGTTGTTCAGTTGTTCTAACCCAGTCAATGGGAAAAGCACACCCAATAGCCTGCAGTAGGATTGAATGGAATCTGGCTGGAGTTTAAATGCTTGCTGCCTCTTTGCCCGTCCACTGCTGGATTGAGTCCAACATCAAATTAGGATGGGCATGTGTGAAAGGAGTAAACACCGAAATGCTCCCAAACTCCTCGGTTTGGTCAGCACACTTGTTTTCTTGAGGGTGTGTCATGCATGTTCTCACAAACTGGCTGTCCTGTGTTGGGCAGTTAGCCAAGAGTGAGAATAAAAGAAAAGCAATTTCCCCAAAAACTGAAGTGCAAGGCAGAGCTGGTGCCAAACCTCTGGGGAGAAAACCAACTGCATTATTTTGAACCTAAATAATAATGGTGCTGGAGGAAAGCACTTGGTTTTTCAGCATGCTGGCATCTCAGCTATAAAAATACTACAAAGCCTTAAGACATAAATAAAGATCAGGAGAAGCAGGGCGCCTTATGGTCTCTGTGGGCATCCCAGTGGAGACGCCAGCCATAGGCTGACATCACACATTGGCTGGCTCAGTGCAATAGATGGAGGCTCTCCACAGATACACCTGCAAGTCGCCAAGTGAGATGAGAGATCTGTCAATGTATTCTTGAACGGTCTGTGTTTATCTGTATTAGCCCTCAGCCATGGAGGGCTAATTCTCTGGCTCTCTGAAGCAGTAATGCCATGTGGCTGACCTTCCCACTATCACCTCCTGCCTACATGTGAGATATTCTACGCAGAGAGGATTCTGAAGTTACTGCCCCAGATTAAATGTATTAAAGGAAACAGTTCTCAACAGAGAGTCCAGGTTCATACATCACCACAAGCAAGCAACTAGAACCAGTAGTTTGTTGTAGGGCTGATTTGACTCATGATGCATTGTCCTATTGTGCAAGCCCAGAAGACATGGCCAGTCCTGGGTCAAGCCCCATGTGCAGGCCGTGGCATGCAGTGATCTGGTGCCTGCAGCTCCCCTTCGAGAGGCGCGCTCAAGCAGAAGGAAGGGCGAGCTCTCCACTCGGTGCCGCTGGCCTGCTCTTGGGTCTTCCTCCTGCCCCTAAAAATGAGCAGTAGAGTTCTGTAGTGTGGATTATTTTGCATAATCTGTTCTGCATTTGCCAAGTAAGGGAAAATGCAAAGAGCCTACAGGAAATGGCAAGCCCAACTAGAACTCCTGCTGCCCAAGTATATTGCTTGTCTGAGATCTCACTAGTTATTTTCTTAAATAGGTTTAAACCTTTAAATTCATTTAATAGAAGTCATGAGAGAGAGAAACTTGTTTTAAGTGAAATCTGAAGATTCTTAGGATGCTAAATTTTAAACCTATTGCCAAATTCTTTGTTGCATGGAGCCTTCAAAAGCAGTCAAAGGCCTGTGCTTATAAACATGTTGATGTTGCACATTCTTTTTTGGTTTCATGATCTCAGGTGGTGTGCAAGAAATACCGTAACTTCACCATCCCCGAGGAATTCCGTGGCATTCACCGCTATCTCAAGAACGCTTATGCTCGTGAGGAGTTTGCCAGCACCTGCCCAGATGATGAAGAGATTGAATTAGCTTATGAGCTGGTTGCCAAAGCTTTGAAATAACAAACTTCTGAGAGTGGGAAAGGGACGTGGAACCTTCCGTGGCAGGATCTATTGGGGTTGGGCCCACTGGAGGGCCGATTTTTATGTATGTACTAGAATTTGTCAGTAGTGACAGGGGATGGGGAATGTTTAGTTACCCAAAGGGACAAAGTGATACCAATTCACGAATAACAATAAAAACCTTGTTTTTAAAAATACCACATGTAGTGTGATACCTGCCCCTTCCCCAGAGAGCTGTTTGCTGCATTGGAATTAGGAAGTGCTAGTCCAGCCAGGGAATATTATAGGGTTTGATTCTGTGGCTCCAAGGTGGGCAGTCTACAAGAGGCTGGAGCAGGGAACCTGCCACCGCGTATACTGAACCTCTGAGGCAGTGTGGGTGGGATTTCCGATGGGGTAATCGCGGTGCTGGGTGAGGTTGGAGTGGTGCTGTGGGTTTTTGGAGACTTTCCACTGGGCCTGCTTTGGGTGGGTGGGAAACTTTGGGTAACTGTTTGAGGCTGGAATCATTACACAGTTTTTTCCGTAGATAAGTGGCTGCAAATGTGGTCACCTGATGATTAGTGTTCGCTGCCCAGAAGGACTGAAGCTGTCCGGCCACTTAAAATGCCGTCTTGGCTGAAGAGAAATTTGAGTATTTTTCTCGGATCAGCAAAGAGCTCAGAGTGATACCCAATGAACCACACTGGGTTGAACTGGGAAAAATCAGAGGGGTTCCTATTTACTGGTTTTTATTTTTAAACCGTGAGGCTCAAGGACTAGGGGAGACAATTCTCTGGGGAGTGAAGAGAATTGGGGTTCCCTAAGGTGGCTTCCTGAGGGCCCTCTTTCCACCTGTCCCTTGAAAGAGTTCATCAGCCAGTCCAGTGACACAGAAGTGCTGCCATGTTTATTGAATGCTGTGGATCCTTGGAGATCAGCTTCATAGGAACACTAGCCGAAAGCAACCAATGGACCTCAAATTTGAACCAAATTCAGAGCAGTCTGTACTGAAGACATCCTTAATAAGTATTTCTTAAAAACCTCCAATGAGATTTTTGAGGGTTACCTTCCATTCTAATGGATACCTTTCCCCTCATTAGTGGATGGCTGTGAGCAACCCTAGAAATCTTGCAGAAACTTAACAGTTCAAGGCTGTCACAACAGTGGTAACGATAATTTTGTCGTCATTTTGTTTAAAGCAAACAGCCTTATGCCCCAACTAAGTTCCACATGTGATGGCAGAGATAGGTAACGGTCATGAAATGGATGCAGTGGGAAGGGCTGGGCTTCCTTTCTCCTCTCTCACCATCACATACTCCCACCTCTCCTTAATACAAAGTCAATTGCAGCACCAGGCAGATCAATACCCTGGTATTTGGGTGCTATTTTTTATTTCCCATTCACAAATCCAGCTGAGAAACTATCTGAAGAAAGGGGAGAATAAAACGGAAAAAGAGGGAATGTGGCTGAGACGGTTCCTGTGCCCCCAGCACTTTGGAGCTCTCAGATTGGTTGGGGAGCTGAAAGTAGTGCCGTTGGAGGAAGCCGCTTTCGAGACGACTGGCTCAGAAAAGGGTGGCCGGGGTGAGAGCCAGGGAGGTGAGGGTCAGCAACTCCCAGAAAGCTCTGAACTTCCCAGAAGCCCCATTGCACAGGTCAGTGGAGCAGCAGTAGGTGTAGTAGGTGAAGTTGGTTCCCAGCATGGAGTGGGTGCCGTGGGCTCCGCACATGGAAGAGTCGCCACAGTTCTTGTTCTGGATTACCAGCTCAAAGGCACCTAAGGAAGAGAAACGCGGGAGGAAGATAAGCAGGAGACCAAAGTAAGTGGTACACAGGTCCATTTTCACCTTTCTTATGCCATTAGAAGTTAACTTGCTAGTAATCCTGCATGTCTACCTCTAGGGCTCTGTGTTTCTGCTTTTGAGGGGCTCAGCTTTCCTTTAAAAAAGTAGTGCTTGTGATAACATGTAGGCCAGCCCCCTCCAACCTGGTGCCCCCCCCAATGCGTGGGATTGCAATTCGCATCTTATGCAGGCAGCACAAGTCTCGTGTTCATTTTTCAAAAGGAACAGAAAGGTCCTTTCCAAGTTAGTCTTGAGGTGACTTTTATCCCATTTTGAGCTCCGGAGTATATCCTGCTTGGGGTTCCAGCCACACATGCTCTCCTCTAAGATAGTATAAGGTTAGAGCCTCAAGCGGAGCTTTCCACTCCTGGCTCCCATTTTCCATTCCCTTTTCCAATGAACACTCCACATTGTGTGGCTACAGTGCACGTGTTCACTACTCTTTGAACAGGCCAGGCCGGGGGGGGGGGGGTTGTCCCTTAATTTGTTTTGGTGTGCACATGTGTACGTATGTTATGTTTCTGACAGCCTCAGGACCCCACTGAACTATTCTTTCATTTCAGTGGCCCCTTTTTAGATCCCGTCTCTGTTGGCATTCCCCATCTGGGGGGTTCACTAGAAGGAGCCATAGTAGGTTATTTATTTATTTTATTTAGATTGCGATTTATATCCTGCCTTTTTCCTACAAAGGGCTCAAGGCAGCTTACATCTCCTCCTCCATCTTATCCCCACAACAACAACCCTGTGAGGTGGGTTGGGCTGAGAGTCTGTGACTGGCCCAAAGTCACCCAGTTGGCTCCATGGCTGAGCGGGGACTCGAACCCAGATTGCCTGAGTCCCAGTCCCGTGCTCTTAACCACTACGCCACACTGGTTACAGCTCTTAGCCTGGCTCTAGACTAGTTTGCTTCTCATCCCTTTCCCACATTTTCTTTCCCAGCCCTTAACATAACAGAATTAAAATATTAGACCATTTGCAACGATGGCTAGAAATTTTGTAACCTAACCTCTGCGCCCTCTCATCACAGATGTGAGACATTTCTGTGCTGGGCCACATGGCAAGGGGAACTTCAAGCAGTCCAGCGGGGAGATGGTGGGCAACGGGCAGGTGTAACATCGCAGGAGAGACCCTGAAAGCAAAATGCAGCAAAGATGGTCTTCAGATGCAATTAAAGTCGCAACCCATAAACGCAGGGACTGGTGTAGATCAAGTATCGGATACAGACAGAAACCGTAATTTCAAGTCTCTACTCAGCCAGAAGAACTTCCTGGGTGATACTGGGGCCAATCTCTTAACATCAGGGGAGCTGGACCTGAGGCCCAAGAATAAAATATGGTCTTCTGGGGACCCCAAGCTGCCTTTTCCATATTGCCAGGTATTTCCTGCTCCCCACATTGTTTCATGGTTTCTTGCCTTGTGTAGATTCTCCCCTCATCCCCTGCCATTCAGAAATCTTTAAATGCCTTCCCCAATGCGTAAGTCTTGTTAGTGAGCGCCTTCAACTAAAACCTGCTGGGATTTGTTACCTTTTAATTTACTGGAATGTGACCCCTGACACTTCCTCTGAAATTGACCATTCTCCAGGCTGAAAGAGGTTTTGTACTTGTCCAAACCCATCTCACACGATGGGCTGTTAGTGAAGATAAAGTGCAGGAAACACACGCAGTTCTGATCACTTCAGAGAAAAACATGGGATACGAATGTGATCAAGCAACGTTCAGTCCTAAAGAAATGGTTAGATTATTTGGGACAAAAGATGGTCGAAACTTCTGCTCCCTTGCGCCAGACTGCTTTTCATCAGCTGCAGAAAGTCTTCCTGCAGCTTCCATTTGAGTGGAGAGAGAGGGAAAGTCAAAACTGTGGTCAAATGACAATGAAATTTAGAACTTAGATTTTGTGATAATTAAACTAAGGCTGAAAAGTATGAAAAAAACAATGACTAAATTGGTAGTAACAACGCACAATTGCTGTTGTTTGGTCTCTCCACCACTATGGGGCACTGTTTCCCTCCAAATGCCATTTCTCTTGGTTATGCTGCTTATTTCTCTTCCAGTAAATTTTGCATACCTTGGCTCAGTCATCAGTTCAAAAGGAGACTGCAGCCAATAAATTAAAAGAAGACTGAGACTTGGAAGAACAATAGTGAAGAAACCTGAAGGAACAAGTGTAAAGATGTTTCACCGTAGACCAAGTACAAGAGCATTCACATTACTCTATTCCTGATGATTATATATGGGTGTGAAAACTGAACAATGAAAAAAGCTGACAGAAAGAAAATTGATATGTTCAGAACATGGTGCTGGAGGAGAACTTTGCAAACATCCTGGACTGACACAAAGACGAGCAAGTGGTTCCTAGTTGAAACCAAGCCAGAGAAAGTCTTGAAAGCAAAACTGACAAAACCGAGGCTTCAGGCACATCATGAGAAGGCAAAACTCCCTGGAGAAGAGCATGTGACTCTTTTATTTTCCATTTGGTGGACTGCCAGAAGCAAGGCCAGTATAAAAGAGAGGATGGGTTGGATCCAGATTTAAACTGGATTAACCCTGCCAGCAGAGCTAGGCTTCCCTGCCCCTCCTTCCCAGGACAGTCTTCCGTCTTCTGAAAAGCCTACCCAGACAGCTTGGATGAGTTGCAGTGTGGCTGGGAAACAGGACCCCCCACCCCTCGAAATTTAGTAGCAGGACTTTTCTGGAATGGAGTCCTGTTTCTCAGAGAAAGCCAATTCCAGTCCTAGCCCCTTAGCAGGTTCTGCTTACCCCATCAAAGCCACACTGGAGAAAACAGCATCAGCTGAAATGCCGCGCCCTCCAATATTTTGCAGATAAAATTAGGAATGCATTTCAGAGGTCCCTCTGTTCTGATGCTGAAGAGCATTACCATATCATCTACTTTATGAAATTATTATAGAATGTATTTACTCGATCTGTTAAAAGCCCAAAGTTTTGCTTGTTATTTTTCTTATTTTTTCTGAATGCACAAAGAAAAGCAGAAGGTGCCCTATAGTATGGGGTACTTCCAGAGGGAGGAGCCCTAGCCCGAAACATTTGATGGCACTGCACAGCCCTTTTGTCGTTGTAAATGGGCTTCCTGTAGCAAGAAAAAGATGGAAGAAGCACGGGGTGGCACATGGAAGAGCATAGCATCTCTCGGATTTTTGAATAAATGTTTGATGGGGGGAGAGGTGCATGGGTGCTATCACTTCTTTAGCACTCACCATGGCACCCACAGACTTTCTTCCCCTTCCAAAAATTATTTTTCCTCCAAACTTTGAAAAACCTTCTCCCTGTTGCTGCTACAGATCAGCTGTACAGAGAAGTACGGCGATTCTTCCTGCTCATGCCCAAACCTGTAACCACACAGACCTGTAG